TATCTTTGACCACTAATTGTGCCTGGCCAGTGCCGTCCCTATTGGCCTGGGTCATGGGAGCGCTGCGGTCCTAGTGCAGGGTAGCCATTGCGGTAGCCTCTTAATCATAGTTTCTCAGAATAATAACAGGTCTTAGTATAAGCTATCATCTTTTTTTTCTCCTCAAAACCATGCAACTGAGTGGATGTAATGAAGCAGGCATTCCAGCTGAGGGAACAACAAGCAACAGCTCCCACAGTCTTTCAGCGCACCGGCAATTAATGTGGTCCGGCCCGACAACCTCCGGGAAGCAGACAGCCAACTTTTGACCAATGTCTGCAAAGGGAAAAAATGTCCCGCAATGTCACATGTTTTAAACTGGATACATTTGGAGACATGTCAGAGGATGACAGCAAGTGATGGGAAATAGTTACAGCTTTAGTTTTGGTGCAAGCAATTTGTCACTTGTCTCTGATTGTGTCCTGAAAGAGACGCAGAAACAAGTTCAAATGTGCATCAAATGGATTGGATTCTAGTATTAAATTGAAGATGAATTAAGCGTATCCATTGTAAGAGTGACTTAAAAAGATGGATACATTTTATTTGTAATGAGCCGTATCTCCTCATCTTAAAGCTGAGAAGCCCGGAACCTGGAAAAGGCTCAACTTTTCGGAGTCCGAGGATCTATGTAATTTTATTAATTTGGTTCTATCACTAGTTTACACACATACGAACATTTAGGTCTCTGTCACATCTTTAGATCAGCTTTTTCAGACAGAAAAGTGAAAAAGAGAGGACCACCCTCACTCAGCCAATCAGTGTCAAGACTTTTTTTCTGTTGGGACAAACAACATCAATTATTCATGAACAAAAGTAACCCCAGCTTTAAATACATTTTGATGAATCACCAACCAGTTTGATCAATTTTACCCTAATTTGGTTTCGTAAATTATTTGTTCATACCCTTACATTTTGTCTTTTAAAAGGGAGACAAATATGCACACACTACAAATATATACACTTTATTCTTAAATAGAATCACTAACCGGCTGTGATTTTGCTCCTATCAGATCTGTTTTTTCTTGTGGGAGAGTGTCCACTGACGGACCACTCCAACGTCTCCCAAGGACTCCCCTCATGAACTGTTGACATGAATTAGCCTCCTGCAGACTTTATTAGCAGCAGCGGTGGAATCGGAGCAGCCTGTCTGTGCGTCTGAGGGGAGGGAGGAGGCCGACCGCTAAGTGCCTGACTTCAGATCTCTGATGGGGGTCACGGGGTCTTGCTCCTTCAGCCTGATGACTTCTGACACCAAAGGGGCAAACTAAGCCACTCTATCACACGAGCACATACAGTACACACTACAGGAACGACTGAAGGCATTCACTGAAAGCATTTCTGTAATACGGATGTGAAGCTCAAACTAATCATGAAAGGGAAATTAACTAAAATGAACTTATATGTGTATTTAGGAGGGCACTTGTTTTTTTAATTCATAAAGTCACACATTTAAGATCCTTCACTTCCAGCTTGTCTTTCACATAGTTATTTACGTCCCCAGATCACAAAGGATAATTTAATACAATTCTTTCTTGCTGTGTATACTGCACTGAATTTTCAACCATGGATGAAAAATATCAACTCTATATCTCTTCAACGTTTCTCTGACAAATGTATTCATATGTTTAGACGGATGTATGCCTATTATAAATAACATTTATTCCTTTTTAATCAACATTGAGAACCCTGTCCTGGCAGAGACAAATGGAACCATCAGTCTTATTTCAGTGGAGGAATACCATATATACTTTTCCAAGCTTTTGCAGTATTGACCAAAAGGGTTAACTGAGTTAAATTGAGAAAAAAAAATCCCAAATAAAACAGAAGTTTTTACAGCTCTCTCAAGCAATTATTAGACCAACATCTAACTCACGCTTGATGTTTACTGGAAGAGCAGTCTTTAATCATATGGCTAAATTAGCAGTCATTTGGGGTTCAGTGGTCTCATTTTACTCCTTGGTTGAGTCTACCAGTGTACCAGTCTGAGACACGCTGCAATTAAACAAAAGAAATGTAATCATGTAAAATGCATGTTTTTACCATTACGTTGTGTGGATTCTGGGGGTTCTTTTCTGACTCGATTTGACTTGAAATATAGTCGAATGAAAGAAGAGTTTTGCCAACATAGTCCTGTTGCTTGAAATATCTATTTCATAGCTTTTAATGATTTATGCACTGATGCATGGATAGTGTAAGGATAATAGTGAGAATAGTGTGTTTTTCTTAGTGTGTTTCTTAAATCATTTTCACATTTTATAAAAGTGCGCTCACCAAAATATATTAGTGACATGTTAGTCCCATATGAACCAGCCCGGACTCTGAGGAGCACAGGGACTGGACTCCTGTTAGTGCCCAGAGTCAGAACTAAACATGGGGAGGCTGCTTTTCAGATTCATGCTGCTAAAATCTGGAACAATCTTCCTGAAAATGTGAAACGGGCTTCTTCTCTGATAATGTTTAAATCCAGGTTAAAAACAATTCTGTTAATCTGTGCATTTGACTGAGGGATTTTATATTTGTATCTTTCTTTTTAATGTTCTGTGATTATTTATGTCTTGTGTATGAATTGTGCTATACAAATAAACTTGCCTTGCCTTCAATATAAGTGGACTTTTTGTTTGTTTTACATACTTTCTTGCAGCAGTTATGATCAAATACTGAAATGTATCCATTGAATTGTTGATTGTATTCTGAATACCACCAATGGAATGAGTCATGTATTCCAAATACAGTTAAATACTGTAAATATTATTCTATATTCCTGGTAAAATTGTGTTACTCCCCAACACTGTGATTAGTTCTCATCATCAAGTACTTGACATTTACAAACTAACACAATTTTGAAAACACTTCCACTTCAAAGGTGGTTTATTGAAGGGAACACATTACGTATATAAAGTTCACTTTCATGAACCATGTTTTCATGGGGCTTCCTCATGATACTCAAAGTTGTTATCGATTGATTCATGAATCCTGTGTTTGCATTTGAAACTATACTTATGAAATGATGTGTGTCAAAAGTTTACCTTAAAAAGGACACAGTCTTTGTGCCCTGACTGTCTCCTGCATGTTTACCTTGTCTTGATGCTCTTTATTGGGGAGTACAGGACACTCTCTCCTCTTCCAGGTCTGAGTGTGGAGTCTAAGTGCTGCTGATATGTCAGTGTAACTATAGCGGGCCGTGTTTAGGCTATTAGAGCCGTCTATTTACAATCTGGAGTTTCCTATTGATTATGTCTGCCTTCCCCGTGTGTTTACGTGGCCAAATAAATAACACATGTTTCTGCGCTGCTCTGACTCGACATCTTTTTTTCTTCCATTTTCCTCTCACTCAAGTATTTTTTTCTCCTGTCACTGCTTTTCAACAAATTTTGTCTCAGACAGATTCTCACCCCTTGCACCTAAAGTTGGTTTTGAACTTTTGTTTGAAATTTAAGAAAATTACTATTTTATTAATTTTATCATTCTTGGGATATCTCCCAACTCAAATGTGAGAGTGATTATATGTATTGAGATATGCATATTTTTGCCTCTCCACAAACCTGACTCATGTCCTGGAGCAGGGCCATCTCTCTTCCACACTATGGTGTTACACATCATGTATTTCAACAGAGAATTTTACTTGTGGAATCCTGTATTTTATTCTCCATCTCCATCTACTTTGGATTTACATCTGAATATGAGCCAAACCAACCTCGCGGGCAGGTGAACGCCATGGGTGATGTCACACTATGCCCACCCCTTCTTCAGTTCAGTTGTAATGTATTAATAACCTCAGGAGTTGTGTCAAACATGACATTTAAAAATGTACGATACAACTTTTCAAATGCAAAATTTACTGGATGGTTTCCAGAGAGACGATCACAGATGGAGGTCAAGCCAAGTTATAGGTCATGGGTTAGGGTTAGAAAATAATGCTAAGTGAGTAAATGATAGTGAGCTGTGAACCACTGGCAAAAAAAAACAGGTAAGAGATAGACGGCAGGGACTGACTCTGCAGTTGAGTGTGATGTCTAGCAAATGAGAATGTTGATGAGAACCATTTAATTCATTTTGAATTGGGTAAGTTAGACTTAGTCCAGAGGATGAGTACAGATGGCTATACAATAATAAACTAAATTTGAGTCGTTCTTGTAAACAGAAAAGGGATTTCTTGAGACTAAATAGTTTGTGGAGACACCGCACCATGCAGGGCCTGTTTCTCCCCTGTCCATAGTTGATATTTGTGCTGGACCACACTTGCACTGGTGAATATGTAACTATTTGTAAGTCCCAGCTTTTACAAAGGAGAGCATAGCTGTGTTTGTGTGTGGCGAGGCGCTCTCCACAACAATCAGGCTCAGATGAAAGAGGACGCAGCCAGAGGAACGCGCCATGTTTATGTGAGAGGAGCTTGAATAACAGGTTTGCAGCGGTCAGTGGTGGAAACTCAAGCCCCCTGAGCAGCGGGACAGTGATGGCTGCTCTCCGTGGAGCGTGAGGCCTGCAGGCTCCTCCAACACTGACACCACAAATACCTCCATAGTGAAATTAGTGATACATATATTCATTTATCTTAATATTATTATCATCATCATTAGTATTATTTTTATGATTATGATTATCATTATCATTTTTTAAATCATTATTATTATTATCATTATCATTATTATTATTATTACTATTATTCTTTTCCTCTGTTTTATGGGCCGTGCTACTTTAGTATACCGATGATATGATTATATTTAGAAATTATATTATATTTGTTTCCCGCAAACCTGCTAATGGTCCGATGGATTATGGGCAAAATGGAATCTTCTTTTAGTTGTATGTGTGATTAAATGCGGTTATGGTCAATACATATGGCGCAAGGGTAAAAACAAAAAACAAATAACAACCAAACACATAAATAAAAGAAAAACTTTGGAGAGCACGCTTGTGATAGTGACCGATAGGAGGCACTGGTGTTCTGGTTTATGGCCATGGCTGTAGCCCGTGGATCCTGGACAGTTTCTCTGCTCCTGCTTCTGTCCGCGTCCCGTGCGCGCGTGGCTCCTGCTCCACATCCGTCAACACGCACCGTACACAACTCTACACACGACGTCTGCGAGAGAGGTGGGAATGTGGCACAGGGAGCACTTTTGTACAAATTTCTCCTGTTTTCTATTGTGTTTTCTTATCAAATGTATCGTGACCTGCAGACATCCCTCCAAAAAGACAATCCCATACATACATGTCTTCACACTGCGTGGCCAAACACTTTATGATAACTAACTAGTGTGTTCAAATATGTCTCATGTGGGAATTAATCTGCAGAGTCGTGAGGGCTTATGGGTAATGTCTCAATGGCCTACTTGGCTTGTGTTCTTTTCAAAAACAGGCCTAAGTTCTGTTACTAATTTGGAGATTTATTGACTTTTGTTACAAATATTTGTTATTATACCTTCCAAAACTCTTTTCCAAAGGCCAATGAATATCCTGTTTCTCTTCTCACTGCTGACAGTTTGAAGTTATTTTAGTTCCAGATACTGCTCATTAATTAAGATACATCCAAAATCCAAGGATCCGTTTCAATTGAGATCTCCTCTAAACATACAGGTCCCATACTGATCAAAAATCCCTGCCCCATGTGCTACATAACAGCTCTATCCCCTTCTTATGTACAATTGAATATGAATTTATGTATTTACTGTAAACATGGAAGTAATCATATTTGGGTCATGATTGCCTAATGTGTGGGTCAAAAGTACACAACATCAACATCAACATTTCAATAAAACATTGAAAACAAAAAAATCTAGATACTCAATAGAGAAAGAATTTACAAAAAAGTACACATATTGACATTTATTTTAGCACCAGTATACAATCTATACAATATTATCAAAAAGTACTATAAAAGGATAAGTGAGCTGTCAAAATTGAGCTGTAGATCATGCAGAAGTTTGGTAAATCATGATTGTCTGCACCTGGATTAAATTTGAGAATTATCTATCAATCATATGTCAGTGTGAGGGGCTGAAGAGGAGATAAACTCTCCCATTTTGATTAAGAAATAACATAAAAACTGAGTTAGGCTTTACTTCAACTCACGTTCCTTTCACAGCGATTGATTGGCTTAAATGTTATTCTTGTCACACCAGTTATTTTTATTCATCTTTTGAGGTAATTCAATAATATCAGAATCAAAATGTTAGCACTATTTGACAACACTACAGTATATACAGTATCTAAATGGTTAGAGGCACTTGTTGATTTTTTACACATTTTATCCGTGCTGACAGCTGTGGTCGGAATCGTGAGCCCTGTCCCGGCGCAGGACTCAGGACGTTGTGGTCAAAACACGATCCTCCAAAGCCGACAAACTGCCCTCCTGCTCCACAGCCAGCGTAGGCACCCCTTCAGTCCGTCAGCCTGGAGCGAGGCCCTGAGGTGAGTGAGGGCACTGGGTTTGACCACACAGCGGGGCCGACCCACACAGACCAGCTGAGACTTGTCCCCGCTGCACCAGGACACGGCAGCCGCCAATGGCCCATGAAAACCTCACATGTGAAACTCTGATAATTTCATATTTGCACTTTAGCTCGGTTCTCTCAAGGCCTGGGAACAAAATCCCCAACCACCCTGGCTTTAGGATCCTATTTAAACACAGGGTGGTCACACACAATGATATTTATAGTTTTTGCGTTGAGCGTCTATTTTGGAGTCACAAAAGAGTTGGTCAAAAAGGAATGTTCCAGTTCAAAGGCGTGCACGTACTGTTTTGTTCTTGATAATCACTTTTTTCCTCTTCCTTTGAGACAGCATAGATTATTATTACTGCTTATAAACTGTGTTAATGACTGAAACTAGGTTATAGACTATACTATTTTAAAGGTTTCTTTCACCTTTGTAGACAGAAATCCATATGTGCCTGAATATTTTTAATAGTCTAAACTTTGACGAATCCAAATATTCAGTGTGAGAACTTCCATCATCACAAATGTTTAATGTTCAACTGTCGATCAGTGAGAGCTAATGATAGACACTCATAATCAGCAATTGATTTTCTAAATATATCATGGATATAAATTAAATAATAGCAATTAATTTATTCACTTTGAGTCTGACTTTTGATCATTGATGCCTCGTCATTAATTAATGCCGAGCTTATCCATTAATTTATTAAGTCTGGTTAAATAGTGTATGTTTGTTGTAAAATATACATACATTAATTAGGGCATTACAAGCTTTTAAGATACTGATCTTAGCCTCAGTTTCTAACTTTTTGTCGCTATAAAACACAATTCTGATGATCTGAATACCACTATTCATATTTGCCTGTTGATCTAATTAGATCTTGAAAACTAAGCAGGGCTGGGTCAGATTAGGGCCTGGATGGGAGACTACTGGGAAAAGCATGTGCCACAGGGACAGCAGTGATTAGAGCTCATGTCCAACATAAAGACCAAACTAAAGGAATGATTTCCACTGAGACAAGTGCACGCAGCTATCGTGTGCTCACACAAGACCATCTTGGTTTCTCTGATGAGTGAGTGATTAGTGGTGGTCTGAGGAGTTGATGACATAGATTGGAATCCTCTCTGTCACTATAGTCTACCCCAGGGCCGCTGTGAGCACAACATCAGGTGAACATTATTTTAAGCAATGCATTCATTCATTAATTCATTCATTTTCTGCCCCTTTATTAGTCAATTTCTGGGTCGGGGGGTGGCAAAAAAATACATAAATAAGCAATGCAATATGAGTGTCAAAAAAGGCATTGAACACAATACAGCCTTGGATTTGCTTCATCTGCAATGTCACCTAAATGTCATTAAGAGAGAGCTGTTTATTTTTAACTTAACTTATTTTCACCATACCACATTCAAAGTCAGTGCTGTGTACTGATACTCAAAATGATGTATTTTGTTTGTATATTCATTTGTATATACAGAGACACAAGGTAAGCATCACAGAATTCCTCAGTTTTTATTCAATCTGAGCTTAATAGGAAAATGAAGGATGCTAGAAATTGAGATAAAATATTTTAATTTAGTGTAATGGCTGCACAATATGAAACATACTAAAGTAATGACTTACATTTATATTGGTTACATTTGCAGATACCCAACAGCTTTTTGTTTTGTTGTGCCCAATATTCAGTTTCGACTGACTCATAACAGATCAGGTCAGGTGATAATATTGCCTGAGATATAACCTTATTATATCACAGGCCAACAGATCCTCTATAAAGAAGCCCACATAAAAAGCCTATAAAATGCATCCTCTTCCCTGTCATTACCAACTTCATGAACAATAATGCTGTAAACGGTTGTTTTTTTACTGGCAGCATAACGGACCATACTTGATGCTGATCTTGTGTTTCACTTTAATAGAGAAGCTGCTTTATAGACACTTGGCTATGCGAGAGCACACACCTCCGCACATGAGTGGTGAGGATTGATGGGGACCAGTCAGAACAGAGAACAGGCCTGCGTTTGCAACATGAAACTCGCATCCATATTGCCATGCTTCTACTTAACCTGCAGCAATTAGCAGACAGGAAAAGGTCTGGTCACTGAAAATGTAATCATGAAATTAGCCATGTGATACATCAACCCAACATATGTCTATTAAATCCAGGTTACAGAGACCGAGATTTGTTCATATCAGTGTTGAGGATGGCAGATAATTGGGCGCACTAATCCAGTAATGCGTACAAATGGTCAAATTACATTGAGCCGTGTTTTTTAATTAAGGTACAGTATTGAACAATGTGGCCAGACTGTACAGGGATATAATGCTCCCACTGTTAACCCTTGTACACAACCCGTGCATGTGTTTACTTGTTGCTTATGTGGAACTCACAAAATGCAATCCTAACTATCATCATGACTCGATCATGACTCATAAGTATCAGTTAGGGCTATTGAAGTGAAGAATTAACGTTAGTAAAACTACCCTATGCAACTTGCTCCTGAAACTCCGGAATATTCTCCATGGAGGTACTATAGCCGAGGGCCAGACCCTCCTGTTGAACAACATTTATGTACTGAACATATTTTTATACTTAAAGTAGAATAACTGATTTTTTTGGCAATTTGCGCAACTTTTGGGAAGAAAGTTGCAATGAAGATGTAATTTCTTTGTTTAGATAGTTTTTCAATGTGGTATATAGATAGATGGGTAGATAGATACTTCATTGATCGATCATAAATCTTATAATAGAAAAATGAATCAGCCACAGGCCTTCAGGTCACAGCAGCAAAGATGGAGAAGCCGCTGGGTGTAACAGGACGGGTCACAGCAGCAGAGGTGGATTAGCCTCTGGGTGGAGCAGGACGGGTCACAGCAGCAGAGGTGGAGTAGCCTCTGGGTGGAGCAGGACAGGTCACAAGGTAGTGTAGCCGCTTGGTTTGGACCCTTTTCTCTGCTCTAGTCCAAAGTTAAATGTTTTATGACAGGTACACTAGGTAATTTGATCAATGCATTACTGTATGAAATATACATTTAATATTAGCATGAAATGGTGCAAAAGACCAGTGAGCCGCTTTCAGCCTAAAGCACAGAGAGATGTCTAACTTTACATGAGGCCCAGACCAATAAAGGTTGTTTCCTTTATTGCTTGATTTTGAAAAAAAAATAAAAATAGATAGAAATATAATATAATAAATAATATAATAATAATAAATAATGTAATAATAAATAAATATAATAATAATAAATAAATATAATAGAAATAGAAATCAATAAAGTTGTGTAATAAATGTTTTCTAATGCTCTGCTCTAATTATCCATGTTTTAAACAGTACATCACATTTTAAGGACGAAAATGATAACTACGAATTCACTTCTACAGGCTAGAGCCGTTATTTTGGTTTTGCTTTTCAATGATTGCCCTTCATTCATTGTATCAATCAATCAAAATAATCTCCCGGCTCTGGCTTCTCTGGAAACACATAAAGCTGCCTCTTGCCCAGCAACAGGATCCAGTGACTAAGGCGGCTGTCACATACACCTCACTCTAACTTCCACCTCTGCAAAGACACTTTCAACACTATCTTTCTCCTCTTTGGACCTAATTGCGAGTACATTGAGTAGGTTTGTTTTGTTGCTGGTGCAGGTCCCAAAAGTTGATCCACACAAAATCTTTTGGCTGAACTTCGCCTCCGATTCAGCGACAAGTGACAGAGCTCATAAAACAACATTGTCATTAAGTACAACGCTGTTTGCCAATACATCACATTGCAGCAATAAAATACAGAAAACCCTTTACAGCAGCACTTATTACACTCTTTAAACCTTGACCAGTCTATAAAATTGACAAAGTTAAGTATGAGCCTATGCAGTAATTCTTTATGTGATGAATATTTTGCTGACGATTTCCCACAAAATCAGATGTCTTTCCAGGTTATTGAAAAGATAACTGACTAGACCCAGTTATTGTTCGTATACTTTGTGATCATAGTGTATTTCTCCACATGCACTCTGTGATAAATGATTTCCAGTCAATGCAGCAGTACATCAGCCGCATAGCTCTTTAATAAGCCCCCCACACTGCAACACAGCAATCTAATAAAACATGGCAGATCAATTTATGACTGAATACAAAATGTACCATGCACATGACCTTCTGGCTGCCTATTTAACCTAATATAACTAATATGAGCCTCATATATCACTTATTAGTTATATGGAATCAATACTGGATTCAATTAGCTAATGATTCTCAAAGGTAGCTCGCTTCCAGAACCTGTTTGTTTATGAGACTTAGCAGATGAGTCAAACTTGGAGTTTAAGTTTAAGTTTAATTTATTACGGACAATGTACAGTTACATTAAGATATAACTGAATTTCTCCTGCATGGCTCAATAAAGTATCTATCTTACTATTTATCTATGATGGCTGCATCAGATTCAGCACCGTGCTACTTTCCACTGTAGTCCTTATACAATCTCATAATATACATATTCAAATACAGTTAAATCTAAAGTGCAAGTTACCACCATATATATTAAAATACAGCTCAATAAAAAGTTGCCAACATAGTAACTGTCCCAAGTCACAATGTGCAGGATACAAATATCATTTTACAGCACAAGGAGAATGTGCAAATTACTGGTATAAGGTGCAATGCAAAGTTACAGTACAGTATTTAGCAGCGATATTTCAGGTGTGACACAATTTTCAAACGAAGAACAATGGAAACTGACTTAAAACTGTTTAGAGTGACTTGGCCTGATGTTCTTTTCAATCCCTTACTTTTTAAATTGATATTTTGCTACCTGGTGACATTTCTAAACCACTGTGTTGCCTCGTGTGGCACAGTGAGAGAAGGACCTTCTTCAGAGAGCCTGAGTTTGCATGTTCTCCTCGTGTCTGTATAGGTTTCCTCCGGGTGATCCTTGTTCACCATCTTAAAACATACCTACAGGTCAGACCGCAGCGGTGGCA